ATGCTCTTAATGTCGTCTTCTGACGTTCTTGTGCGACCACGTGTGCATGTGGAGCAATTAGCAAGTGTGAAATGGTCGTGTGGTATTAACGCTGGCTAGCCCCGCTGACCCTACAGCTAAAACAGGAAGACAACTGTATGTGAGAGCGTTGTGCACACGTGGGCGTCTCGTCTGTCTAAATCCGTGGCTTTAAGAGTTTTCCTCAGCTATGCATGTCGTTCATAACATGCACGCACAAAGAACCAGCACACACGTGTTGCTGGATGTTGACAGCGTCTGTATCTGATGGAAACACACAACAAATGCTCTGTTGAGATGTTTGTGATAGAAGTTTTAGAAAGTAGAGGAAAGTAACTAAAGCATGAAGATGGATTCAAACGTTTGAACCGTCAGTGGTTGAATCTGAGTCGTCCTCTCTTTCACCTTCATTTCATTTCTCTGACGTTTACCTGCTAGAGAGTTAAATCCAGTCTGTCTTTCATTCATCCATTCATCCATTCATCCATTTTCTTCTGAAATAAACAAGGAAACTCATCCTTTCAGTAATTTACTCAGTTGATTAAACCCAGTGTCAGTATGTTCTCCACAGAGTCACAGCAAGTCCCTAAATATGTTTTAAATCATTTTACAAATAAAAGTCTGAAAATTTGTTACATTTAATTTTTTATGAATAAAAGGCCTCAAAGAGTTAAAGTCTTGAATCGTGACGGAACAGAAGCAATACTGAAAAAAAAATCTGAAACAGCTGAGACGCTGGTTGAGGTGTTTATAACTTTGTGTGTTTGTGTGTGTCGGCCATGTCGTGCCTCCTCTGTGATGATTGTGTGTGTGTGTGTGTGTGTGTGTTTGTGTGTGTGTGTGTGTTTGTGTGTGTGTGTGTGTTTGTGTGTGTGTGTGTGTCTGTATTTTAAAAGAGAGACATTGACATGAGAAGTCATCTGATGCTTGTAGCACAGTTTATATAAAGGCTGATCTATAACCACACACACACACACACACACACACACACACACACACACACACACACACTTGTGGCCCAGCGCCTCGTAAATGTTTGAAGGTGTTTTAGTTTTTCGGAATGCAACACGTTCAGATATAAAAGTGCAGCTGCTGCTATTCAACCGTTTTCTTTCTCTTCTTCTTGAGACGTGAACACGACGTTCCACGCGGTCGCTCGTCGCTCTCTGTGGTTTTTACGGGTGGAGGCGGGGTTTAAGACCAATACTGCTACCAAGATGATTTGGCTTCACTTTTGGAAGCGGTCCTGTCGTCCATCTTTATTCACAGGCGGTTAATGAGAGAAGAAGAGTTGTGCTCTCTCCTTGTTCCAGGTTTTGGATTCATCATCTCCTCAGTTCAGACTTGTCGACTTTCAGCCTCCACGTTTCCGCGGAGCGACCTCCTGACGATGGAGTCACTTAGTGTTTGACTCCATTAGTTCATCCACTTGTAAAGATAAAAAAAAGATCTGGGTCGAGCCTCAGAATCACGTTATTAACTTTGATCAGAGAGGACAGGACGTCACAGCCCGACAGTCACTGACTGAGAGACAATAGAGGCAGAGAGAAAAAGATCAACTGCTCTTGTCCACGGGAACTTTTAAAATCAGAGATGAAACTTATCTCTGTGTCTCTTTCTTCGACAGACTTTGTTCTCTACGTATATTCAGCGACTCTGAAAATAGCCACATCTTGAGGTTAGCTCATCGATCACCTGACACCGCGGCTCGTACAGGATGACACATTCCTCGATGGTGATGAAAACTCTCCTCAGAGGACGAACCCGACGTACACACATATTCACACCGTGTTACACGATGCTGTGTCACTATCATTTTCCGCTGCACAGACATGTCAGAGAGAAAATATTTCTTTACAATTCACAGCATCGATTCTCACACTAGTGGCTTTTTACGAGCGGTCGAGCACGTAACAAGTACTGATTTGATTGAGAGACCCCTAGTGGCTGAAGTTACATATTGCACATTTAAAGGGAACGCCCCAACAAACGAATACTCAGACTTTCTATTTGTCTTTGGTTCTTATCAGTCACGCGAAGCGGAGCCTAACAGAATTAATCACCTGCAGAGGGCGCTGTCGATTACGTGGTGTTGCTTTAAATTTAAATTTAACTTGAACTTTATAAAACTATTAAATGTCAGTTTATATCACCATGTACACATACTACAGAGGAACATACATAAACTATAAATACTGACAATGAATTACATCTCAGTCCAAGGACGTGTGTGTGTTCATCTGTTTGTGTGTGTGCGTGTGTGTGTGTGTTGTATACAGACATATCTAGACATTGCGGTAAGTGACGGCAGCTCAGTGGTGAATTGTTGTCATCGGGGCTCATTAGAGCCTCTGCTGACGGCTCCTCAGATGACGACAGCGTCTCTTGAGGTATCACACCCACAGAACATGAACGTGCAGATTCAGTTTCTATTATTTCTTTTACTATTGCAGCTCGAGTTTATCTCCCACAGTGAAAATTCAAGTTAAAGAGCAGGTTCACTAGACGAGGAATAAAACGGCTCAGTTCTCACTTTTAATTATCTTGATAATTTGAGAAAAATCTCCATAAAACCGAATGTTTTATTTATATCATCCTCCTCCATCAAATTATCAGAACTATCAAACCACTTCTGTTGCTGCGGAGAGATTTATGACTCTGACATGTGCAGCAGCAGCAGCAGGTCGTTGCTGGCGTCGGTTACTGCGTCTCCTCTGCGTGGAAATGAAACCACCTGTCCAACGCTGGGCGAGGTGCCGAGGACACAGGGACCCCCGGGGGCTGCTGAGGTGATCATGCGCCCACGTCATGTGACCTGGGAACTGTCAGTCATAACAGGCCTGCAGGGCAAAATGTACATTTAAATATAAATAAACACATATTGAAGAATTATTTGACCAACTTAAAAAAACTAATGTGGTGACACACGATTAAATTAAGTTTGTTTCAATCATAGTTAACAAATTCAAATGTCTGAAATTTTACAGATAGAAAAAAATCCTTAAAGATTCTTAAATTGTAATTTAATGATTTTCTGCTCATCAGCGTCGAGATTTAATTAATTTATTGTTTTGCCAGGTGAAGGAAATCGGAGCTTTGTTTTTTCTGGAGAAGAGCCTCGTGTTGAAGACAGATACTAATTTGAGGTTTCACATCGCTCATCAGACTTGGCCGTGGTCGTCCCGCGTCCTCACTGATCCGGGGTCGGGTTTCCTCCGTCCAGAATTGTTGAGATCGTTAGAGAAAATGTGACGATGCTGTTTGGGCCGGGGGGATGTAGATTAATGAGTTAGTCAGAGTGTGTGTGTGTGTGGGTGTGTGTTACAATCGCTGAACTCAAGGTTCTGTAAATGTCTCCACAGATCAGTTTGATCGCCCCCTAGTGGCTGGCTGCAGAAACCCTATCTCCTCCATGTTAGCAGATGGGGAATGGACCTAATTACAGTAACAGATATCATTTTAGGGTTTCTCATCACACTCATGTCTCTTCAAGTGTTTCTGATGAGTTTGGTTTTAATTAGTTATTTGATGACGTCATGATTGACAGCTGAGACTGACTTGTGATTGGTCCAGAGCGTGAATCAGCGGGACCTCGAGACCACGGCTCCACTTCTGCTCAGACTCTGACTCCAAACGTCCTGATAGATAAAAACACATGAATGAAAATAAAACACCTAAATAGATATAACTTTTTGAATTGAAAGGTTTTTTTTTTTTATTATGTAAAAATGATTAATTTCTACTTTGTTTATTAGATTTAGGTTTAGGGTCAGTATTTACTTGTGATGGTTAAGGTTAGGGTAAGTGGCTTGGCAATGTATGAAGCCAGTGAGAGTCCTCACTAAGATAGAAGTACAAAGAGGGGGAGCGATGACAGCTGAAAATAAAACTGAAGGCTCTTGGCTCAACGTCTCCTACCACACACACACACACACCCCTGCCAGTCAGCTGTTGTGTTGTGGTCAAGTGTTAAGCCCTGAGCTTCGGGGGAGGGGATAACAGGGGATATATTAGTAATTTGCTGCTCGGCTCCTCAGAGACAGATGAAAATATTCATCGTCATCTTAATAAACTGTTGATTCAGTGGATGGTAAAGTCAATACCTGTGTATTATCAGAGGCTTACAGCTCTGAGCACTGTGTGCATGTGGTTGAATTTGGCCGGGGCCTGTCGTTGGCTCTTCTGTGGTCGTACTAAGCAACAAGGCGAACTTAGCAACTTTAACGAGCGCGCGGCTCCAAAGCTCAACAAAGCCCTCGTTGATTCATGTCTTTATTTTCAGGAGGAAGGTTTATCACCTTCTTTTTAGAGCTTAACTAAATCTGATCTGATCTAATCTTAATTCAGGTGTAAATCAGACTGAAAGTGATGAAGACACGAGGAAGTTGATGCTTCATTTAAAAATATCAAACAGTATTTTATGTAGTTGTGGTCTTGAGTTGTTTGGTGAGTGCTGTCTGGAATAAATCTTATGTATAAACTCATCACATTACACCATATCATTTATTATAAAAAGGTAAATATTTAATCCATAAATTAGCGTGAGCAGAGAAAATAGATTAATTCTTATAAAATGTCAATCATTTGTTAAAACTCACATAGAAATAAAAATGCAGGAAGAAAGTTTATTATTAATACTATTATTGTTGTTAATATTGTTAATATCATTATTAATCATATTATTATACTTTTTGTAAAAGGAAGGAATTGTATTAATGGCCCCTTGGTGGTTTAATCACCACGTCCTCCATGTTAGCAGATGAGACAAAACTGAAAAGTCAATTTACCAAAATATGCTTTTTATATATATATATGTTCTGTCATGTTACTTTGTTGAGCGTGTGTTTTATTTATATATATTTTAAATCTTATCAATTTTATTTTTATGTGATCATGTAAAAAAAAAAACGTCCGTGCTTTTACTCTGAAGCTTCATACTTTTACAGAGCTTCACGCTTTTACTCTGAAGGAATCCGGGATCCCTCATGCCGGAAGTCTTCACGGGTTTCCGGCTGTTTATTTCCTTGTTGTCATCGAGTTGACGAAGAGTCTAAACGCAGTGAAACCGACAAACTCAACGCAAACAACGGAAGGTATGACGACAAAAACATCGCTAAGGCGGTTTAACGTTACATTTCTGCGCGACAGTCGCTGTTTTCATTTCCTTTCAAACTGCGTTAGCCGCTGTTAGCATCGGCAGCTACTTTAGCAACACGAGTCCCGGTTGAGCTCCAGCTCGTGACAAGTGTCAAACACGTTTCTCTCCAACTCGATAAACATCGCGATAACCTTCTTTTTCATTATTTCACAATAAACGACTGTATTGATAAACCTGCAGGTTAAGAAGCGGTTTCACGTAACATCACCTGAAGTGGATGTTTCCACTCAAACAGGATGTGTCCGGAGTCTTTAAGCACTTTATTTTTTTATCAATCTCAATCTCATCAACACGGATTTATTATGCAAACGTGGTTTAGTTCAAATCATAGACTGTATATAAAGATACATGTAGATAAAGTTCAAATGCATCTTAATATTAACGAGTTGAAACTTCAGAAAGCTCTGAATGCTTCCGGTTCCAAAAAAAGGTTAATTTCCTGCTGCCTGATGTTCTACCACGACACCTATCGGCCGGAATGCAAAACGTGACAGGGGAAATTGTGTTGGTGTGCATTGTGGGTAAAGAACGCGGAAACACACGCTAGTCACAATTGGTCGTTGCGACTCAAGTGTGTCGGAATTTGGCAAAAACACGGACGCTGTAAACAAAAGCTGATTTCAGACATGAAGTCCAGGAGACATCTGAACGAAATGTGTTGTATTTATGTGTTTAGAACTTTAAAACAACTCCTCGACATTCCCTTTAGAATATTTGCATTCTAACGAAGAACAAAAAGAAGCTCTGTTACCTGAGGATATGGTCCTTGTGGCCCATGAAGGCCGACTCCTTCATGGGCTGCGTAGACCACGTTGTTGAAAAACTGAACTACAATGAATGGAGGGAAATTTAGACCTGAGAAGATCCACCTGTTGGGGCTTCAGTGCTCAGACTTCAGATGTATCCTCCAAAGGCCCCTGGATCGACAGCTACAGGCTGAATTTGACCTGAATCCAGACAAGGCTGCTGTGGTTTTTTTTATAGTTATACTTAATTGCAAATCTGCTGTTAAGTTATGAGAAGTTGATTTATTGATACAGGCAACAGTCAGCACGAGGATAGAGTGAAACATTATCCTGTTCAGAGTGGGTTTAAAGGTTCTGCTGTGCTGTGTGAGGATGATATGCTCCTTTGTTGAGAGTTTTCCAGACTTTGACTATGGACTGGATTTGTCACCAATGACAGAGCAGAAAATGTGCTCTGTATTTCTACTTCTGAATGAAAATATTAACATTAATTGGGTTTCTCTGTGTAACTTGATGTTTGTGAAAGGGCGGTAGTCGAATTGTTCCTGAAAAGTTTTGTAAAGCATTAACCATTGGGCATATTCTTTTATTTTGCACACAAGGTTTCTATACTTACAATTCTATGTTGTTACACTATTTACCCCAAAACCCAACATGTGATTTATAGTCGTGATTGAAGTTTAATACCAGAGTTCGGCTCAGTGATCCCATGTGCATTTTGAAGTAGAAATCGTCGTTGTGAGATGTTACATTTTGCAACGTGCTTTGTGTGTCTGCTGGTGTGGGTTTCATGTGCTTCCAACAACGATGAGCATCGAAAGGAAATAAATGAGTTTGCATCCTCTTGAATGTTTTCTTGTAACAGCTGTGACCTTGTTGTCTTTATCTGTGCTTTGCTACTTTTGCTTTGCTCCCCTGAGTGTGTGTTCAACAGGAATCACCAGAGTGAACAAGGCAAGACCTCCCAGATACTGGATTTCACCCAAACAAGGATCTGAAGTACAGTCCAATTCAGTAACCCCTTTCTTTGTTTTAACTTTTCAGCTTTGCGTTGCTATTGGAGCGTGGTGCCATATCTCCTGCTTCAGTGCCCCTAACGAGCCCTCTACTTGGAGGGTTCGCAGGGAGCTCGATCCTGATCGGACAGCAAGCTGCAACCTTGCAGCTGGCTCAACTGAAAGCCCAGCTTGCACTGACGCAGATAAACAATGCCCTCACAATTGGCAGTCAAGCTGCAAACTTGACAGTCAGCTCCAACATACCTACACCCTACATACCCCCAACACCTCCCTCCCCAACTGCTGCAGCCATCAGTCTCCTCAATCTTCTTAAGATTGTAAACACCATGTCTCATCCCTTTTATAACCCCTATGCCTCTGGCAACCAGAGTTCCACCCAGGGGTCATATGGACTCTCCAGTACGCAGGGAGAAAGGAATCCTCGGAAAGCATCTCCTCATTTTGGACCTGGGTCCAGCTCTTCTGCAGCTTCTTCTGCGACTCCTGCTGGAATGATCCCATCACTACTGACTCAGTCAGTGAGCTACAGGCCTGAACAGGGTCGGGCCAAAATAGACAAGGACATAGAGAGGTCTGTGGACCTGCATATTAGCAGAGCCAGAGAGGAGGTGACATTTGTTGGTAAACCGGATCATTGGCCCATAGGCCAGAGCACTTGCTTTACCAACACTCAGGAGGTTCTCTCCTCCGGCACAGGGACAACCTCCTATCTGATGTCCACAACATCTGCATCTGCCGGACGCAGACACTGTGATGGTGAAAGTGGCAGTGGCTCCTCGGACTGGTTGCCTTGCTACAAAAGATCAACTGCAGATGATTCTTCTAAATTTTATTCATCACCAGCCTCAACTAACTTTACAAGCAGCGAGAGAGAGCGTGATGTACAGCCCACTCCAGGATCAGGTGATTATGACTATCGTGTGTCAGACAAACCTGTGGCTCCTACAGAGACAAGTCACCCCAAGTACAATTCTGAATCTGCTGCTAACATCCTTTTGCAATTTGGACTTGAAAAAAAGGATTTAGACTATCTCATTGCATACCCTGAAGACCAGATGACCCCTGACAACCTTCCATTCATCTTGCGCCAAATCCGCATTCAGAAGACGGAGAGAGCTTCGACTGCAATTGAGCCAAAACCCTGTCCTCAACCTCAACCCATCAGAGGTGTGAGTGGAGTGGATGGTTTTCGGAGTTCTGGAGGGTCATCAGCTGTTCTCCAGCACACTAAAGTAATTGACTATGGACATACTGGCAATTATACTGGAGGGGTTTTGGATGAGATTGAAAGCACCAGTGGCAGAAGTGCTGACAGTGATGGGAGTGGCAATATGTTGTTGGTGAAGACTAACAATATTAGCAGCCACATTCATGCACTACTGCAAAAAGATCTTGCAGAGGTGAAAAGCAGTGCCCTTGGTTCTTCATTTGGCCAAGGTAGCACTGTTACCAACTCTTCATACAGTTCAATACTGAGATCAGTAGCTCCCCCATGCATTGATCCAGCAAAGCAACTGAAGACGCAACCACACCAGACTTCTCAAACAATCCTTAGCTCTTCTTCCCTGTCAAGAAAAGACAAAGACGGAGGCTTCAGACATGAGGAATCCTCCAAGGCCCGTCCTTTGAGAAAAACAGAGGCAGATCACAAGTCGGCATCAAAAACCCAACTACCTTCCTCTCTGTTCCGGGGTATGCATCCTAACCGACCTGGTCTTGTGCTCATTGGTACCAGTGAGGCCACTGGCACCAAGAATCCGAGCACAACTCAAGGCAAAGGTTCAACGGTTACGAAGCAGATAAAAAAGCAGCAGCAACCGACGCAGAAACAGCAGATGCCAAAGAAGCATGTGACGAAACAGCCAGTAACGCAAATGGGGAAAGCGTTGTGGCCTCCAGTTGATACTGCTACACAACCTGCTTGTCTCCTCTCCATCACCACAAATCCCTCTCGGACTGTGCAACCTTCAGTGTTTAGCCCTCACCCCATCAGTATTCCTTCAGCTTCACTTCAACCAGCCAGAAGTGCAAAGAACTTCCTTCAGTTGCCAACACAGCATCCAGCAAAATTGCCAGGAACCAAGAATCTGCCATCGACAGCCATGATGCATGACTATGCGGCAGCCACACCGAGGGTCTTTCCACATACCTGTTCTCTGTGTTTCAAAGAATTCACTAATATGAAGGTGAGTGGAAGACTAGACACTGATTTCTCTCCCTCTTGGAAATTATGGGTCATTATTTCGGTGTCTAAACTGTAAATTGTTCTTTTGTTCTTTTAGAATGTATCATACCAATTAAAAAGAGCCCAAGTGTTGAATTATGTGAAATATATTTTCAAATTGTATGAAGCTGTTATCATTAAGAAACAATGCTTCCACTTACAAGCTGTGCACCCTTTTGCAAACACACATTTAAAATGTAAGCTTGGTGTGAGATTGTTGACTGATTTTGTGATACTAGATGCTCAATATCTTATTGAAGCCAGTTATAGCAAACTATTGTTCTCTGTATGATGCTTGATTTACATGATTTTATTCACTTAAAACTGCTGGAACATCAGTGTCTAGTTTAGTCAGATGAAAGTCATGTAATCAATCAATGTAACTGCCATCAACAGATATGGGCTGTTGATTAATTTAATATAAAATCATGAGAACTGGTCATCTTCTATTATGATACCAAGATGGGACTAATACTTGGTAGACATGGCGATGTCAATGGAAAGCCACTGTTTCCCATTTCTCTTAATGTTACTCCTGTTTCTAAGTATATATTTCAACACACTATGTTAGTGAATGTACCATCTGCACCTTTTTACCACTGTTAAGCTGTTTTCAGACATGAAGGAAAGGTCTGCCTTTTACATATGAAGAATGCAACAGTAGTTTGTCTTGTTCAGACATGTTGACTACAGGAACATTTCCAGAACATTCAAGCTTGGAGAGGCAGGACGTGAAGTATAAATACAGCTGTAAAAAGCACAGTGTTGTTGTTGTTTACAGCAGATCCACACCGGCATCAAATCTCGGTGTGTTTCCAAGATTTTCATTGTTGTCTGCTACATCTGTAGCTCCTCTTTTCCATCCTGAGATAGTAAGGATGTTAGTAAGAGCATCAACACACACACTCGCTTGTTGTGTCCGAAAAATGTCCAGAGCAACTGACATAGACATTTACCTTCTCATATAGAGCCCCTCTGGAGCATTTCTGTAAAATGTACACGCTTCATTACATGTCTGAAAGCAGCTTTAGAGAAATCTCATCAATCTCAATCTCTCACAGTCATTTGTTACATTGATTTATGTAATATCTTACAGTATATGTCACTTTTCTTGTACTACTGGCCATTGTTTGGCCAAGCTTCTGTTATGATTTATTGTTCACCATTTTTGATGTTGTTGCTGTTGGTCAATGTCCGACCTAATTTGGTCAAACCTGCTGTTGGATCAGGACTGAAAGAAACCAGATGAAATGTTTTGCATTTTTGGACTTCCCATCTCCCCTGACTTTATATGGACATGGATCTACAAAAGTTTTCTCTTTTGTGTATATATAAAGAAACTGAAGTAGAATTGGACACTTTAGAGACGGACAAGCTCTCTGAAGATCTATGGAACGTCTTAAAATCTGCTGTAATGATGAATCATCAGAATTGTGTGTCATGGCAGTTGAGTTATTGAAGCTGATAGTATTTGTCGTGAGGTCTGTTGAAATGTTGTGTTTTTTCTTCTGATCACCAGGATTGGATCTCCCACCAGAACACGAGCCTTCACCTCGAGAGCTGCAGAGTCCTACGGACAAAGTCAGTCTTGAGTTTTCTTGAAATGTTATAACTTTAAAGGTCTTGATTGTTAAAGTTATTGTTTGAAGATTATTGCCTTTTCTGAACATTGAAGGTCCACCATGGATGCACCAATGTACTGTAGGGCTGTGACCTTTTCCAAATATGACTACTTAATAACAATCGACCTCAGCGCTGAAATGTTTGGTTTTTATTGTCAACCTCTTTGTTTTAATGTTTGAATTGTTTTACTCCTCCAGATACCCACAGTGGAATGGTGAAATTGTACTCGAGCCCAGGTAAAGTTCTAAGTGTTCTTCAGACAAGTAGAAATCAAACCAGTTAAGAACTAGTAACCTGCAGATTTTTGGAAATATTCTTTCCCTGTCATTTACATATATTTAACTCGTTCCCTGCGCTTTTCAGTGCCGCAAGGAAAGATGCCAAACCGTCTTCCTCAGCTTATGCGCAGACTTCCCAACAGCGTCATAGGAAAACCAGTCATGGAGGCCGCTCCCGCTCACACTCAGAGGGTAGAAGAGAGAAACACAGCCGATCACTATCATCACACAGCTCCAGATACACTCGGTCTGTGAGACACAAAATCTGAATCCCTTGAAATGTCAAATTGCAAGTTTAAAATTTATTTAATTAACCGTTAACCAATTTATAATGTTCTATATTTCAGTTCCCGGAGTCGTTCTCTCTCTCCACGTTATGACCGCGATTGGTCACGTTCAAGGAGCAATGAGAGAAAGAGGAGAAGAGACGACAGATGGTTGTCTCCAAGAAGAAGCCGCGAAAGACGATCATCACTGCCAAGAAGGAGTGAAGAGAGATGGTCCTCTCCAAGAAGAAGCCGCGAAAGACGATCATCACTGCCAAGAAGGAGTGAGGAGAGATGGTCATCTCCAAGAAGAAGCCGCGAAAGACTATCATCACCTAGGAGGAGAGGCGACAGATGGTCCTCGCCAAGGTGGAGTGAAGAGAGGTGGTCATCGCCAAGAAGAAGCTGCGAAAGACTCTCATCACCAAGGAGAGGTGATGAGAGATGGTTGTCTCCAAAGAGAAGAGACGACGTATGGTACTCGCAAAGACCATTGTCATCAGAGAGTTCCCCTCAGCGGCGGTTGAGCAGTGCCAACAGACTGTCGAAGAAACAAACAGGCAAATCAGGTTTGAGAAATTGCAATTATAAGATAAGAGATACAGCTAACTGCTCTTTTCTATTGACGACAAAACCCATCAACCAGTGTCTTTATACAGCCCACATTAAAACTTTGTACAATTTTCCCTCATTTCCACTTAAAAGAACAATAGATCACTAAGTATGGAAAGAGAATAATAGATCTCATGTTTCACGTAGTATATCAATATTATTATATAGTATAGTATATTATATAGTATTTTTAATGTCTCTTATGTCTTGTTTGTCACCTTTGTCCCTCTAGATGTCCAGTCTTTGTCCGAACTGGTTAAAACTCTCACTCCTTCCTTACTGACCAAGCTAGCTAAGGAGACCCAAGGAGGGAAACGCTTGAACCTTAATCCCTCTGCTGCGAAAAAGAGCCTTTCCTCTGCTGCCTTCTCATCAGCAAAGAAGACGATTGTGAAGACATCAACCACGACCAGCCTGCAGAAGCTCGATGTAAGTGCTTCAACAAAGACTAAGGTTGGTGTGTTTGTTTGTTTGTTAGTTAGTTTATGAGGGACTTTTTCTAACCAACTGTTTTAATACTGACACGAAAACACAGTTTGGAAACTTACACATATATTTATGTGGTTGTCTCTTTACTCAGGTGTATAAACCTTCACCTCCAACCATGGTGAGGTTAGAGGGCATCGTTAACACCCTCTCTCACAGTGAGGTGGTCGCTGCGGTGGAGGAGTTCGGAAAAACCAAATCAGTCGTATTGTTTCGGAAGAAACTAGAGGTATGTATAGAAAGTTTTAACTGTATATAAATTGGGCACCATGACAGCTCCCGAAAGTGGGGACACATTTTGGTAAAATATTCAAAATAGGGATGCAACCATTTTGCAGTTTGGTGGCACGGCTGAAGTTCAGCATTTTGTTGTGTTTTTACATGTTGTGGTGACCTGTTGTTGTGTATGTTGTGAGTCCTGATGGTCCTGGTAATCCAAAGTCTTGTGTCATGTAGGCAATGGTGTGTTTCGAGAAAGAAGAGGATGCCAAGAAACTGAAGAGCTTAAAGAGCATCAACATGAAAGGAACCCCCGTCTCTGTTGTCACACAAACGGTATAACTCTGGATCTGTCGTTCACTCCCTGTTACTGAGAAATAAACCTTTCAGAGTAGAAGTATTTGGACAGTGGACTCTGTGCAGTTTTGAAATTTGAAAAAACTGAACCATTCGCACTCACCTGAATGTTCCTCACATTTTCCTGTTGATTCTGGACTGGGTGTGTTGATATTTGTCTGCCTCAGTGTGTTGATGGAGTCATTAATCAGAATAATCTAAAATAACAAATCTGATTTGGTTTGTTTGCAGAATCTTCAGCTAAAGAAGATGCCTCTGAAGTAAGATATGCTTCGCTCACACATTTAAACAGTGGTTTTATCTTTCATTCATCAGTATATTACTATATTCATCGACCAGTATCTCTTTTGTCTAGACAGTAAAAAATATTGTTCATATATTAGTCATTCGTGCACCTGATGGGTTGTTTTCAAACAGTGTTAAGGATTAAGTACAAATAACATTGGTACAGGAAGTCAATCTTTGAAGGACATAATGATCTCATAGGGAAAATTAACATTCAAACCACAATCTGGATTTTACATTCCTCTGTTCTTCTCCTGCTTCACAACCATGTTCTTTTCTTTTGTTCAAAGAAAACCGCTTCTGTCCTCCAGTGTCTCCACATCTCAAACCACTAAATCCACAAAGACCACCACTTCCTCCAGAACGGTTTTGCTGCCAAAGTCTTGCAAAACTTCACAGAATTCCTCTGGAGCCAAAAAAACAAATATACAAGGTAAATGTTCATAGTCAGACCTGTCAGATATGTTATATAACATCAATGTCTTTTCCAAATTCTGCTCCTGTACTGTTAAATGTGATGTAAATCTCCTCTTTGAAGCGTCTGCCTCTCAAGCCGCCAGCAGAGATCCATCCGTGAGCCACCAGCTGCTGACTATTGGGGACATGATCATAAAGCACCTTCATCACAACAAAATCAGTAAGAAATCCAAGAGTCTGTTTGCATTCTTGATTCTTTTATTTTCTTTTGTATTTAACGTTTACTTTTTGCTTTTTTACAGAGTGCTTTAGGAAGAAAATCTGCCAATTAAATCCGGTAGGATTTTTCAAATTATTTCAACTTCACTATTTCAACATCTAGTTTCTTTTTGTCTGTAAAAGAGCCAGACAAGGCAAGATACAATACTCAGGAGTTAAAATGTCTCACCAGATATATCGACTGATGCTGTACAGAGGAAATAAAATGTGTTAAGCATTGTTTTTTAATCGACCAATCATTCAGACTGTAGTTATGATCTCATTCACAGCTGAGGCAGTGTTGATGAGTCGGTGTTAATGTGTAATATTGTACAGGGTGTCTGTCTTAAAGCTCTTAAAATATGTACATTGAATCTGCACAGGTTGGTGTAGGCATACAGCCGCAGTGCCATAATTCTAGTTTTCATCGAGATGATTTTGTCAAACGTTTTTTGAAGTGCACGCGTTTTATTCTTAAATGATAATTTTCTGTAATTTTCCCAGTTTTTGAGCAATGGTAACCGGCATATGATGATCACCAACCTGCCGAGGTACGAGGATGGCTTCTACACCGAGGAAGACATCGCCAACGTCTTCATTCCATACGGATTTAATTATACCAACGATAACATCTATGTTTTTCCTGAGGCCGGCATGGTAGGCACCAGATTTTTATCATTGGCCATAACTGCCACTCATATTTCCGAGTAATTCTAGTATGACTCTTAATGTCATTTATTTTAATTTCCACATATTGTTTTAAATACTTATATCTTTTTCTCTGGTTGCCCTCTCAGGCCTTTCTCGTGATGTCGACACTGCAGGATGTGCAGAACATAATGAAACTCAATGTGAAGGACAGCATCATGTTCAAAGGGTCTCGTCTGCTGCCGCACGTGATGCAGCACAACATATTAAAGTCGCCGGTAAGCATGTACAAACGACCCTGCTCGTTTCTTTTCCACAGGTTTTTATTCACGTCCAGCGTATTAAATCTGATGTTCTTGTTTCAGCTTGTATTTTATAAATCCCTGATGAACCTGTTCCTGATACAATCAAAGGAGGATCGGACAGAGAGAATAATCTACATCGAGAACATCTCACCGAGCCAGGCCAGAGACCTCAGGGAGGCTTTGACAAAAATCGGTTCAGTCACAAACTACCTGCCTCTACTCAACAAGGTATAAACACACACACATGTGTTTAAGTTACTTAAATAAAGACTTCCTCTTCATCTAATCTGTCCTGTATGTATGTCTTTCAGGTTTTTGTTGAATTTGACTCCAGTCGTGATGCTGATCGAATCGGAGTTTGGTACAGCCTCCTGGAACATGCCCCTGGTTACAATGTTTACAGACTGAGAACACCATTTGCCACTGTCACAGCTCTAGGTAAGTTTTTGTGTTGAGAAATTAAAAGTGTACATGTAAGAACCGTTGCTCCCTCGACTTGAACAGGATCAGATGAGGTGGCTCAGGCTTCTAGTCAGGATCCTCCCCCCACATTTTATGTAAACCCCTCCAGTAGATTTAGCTTTTAGATTCTGCTAACAAACAAACAAATCAGCTTGGTGGAGGAAGTTAATATGCAATCATTTTTGCTGCTTTTTGTCTTTGCAGCACCAAAGCATCCTGTGAACGCGATGCCGGACAGCAAGGATATTGTTCCCGGAGCAGCTGTCCCCACAAGAAAAGCTGGCATCCCACAGGGCAGCATTGGAGCATTTTGGGTCATGATGTCAGCTGCTCCCTTTGTGTTCCCCACCGTGTCTCCTTGGTTCATCATCCCAAGTAAGAGGAAGAGCTGGGAACAAAATTTAAAAGTAAAGTTTGTTAAAGGTTTGTTCAATGACGTCATTCTGTTCATTTTTATCTTCAAGGATATCTGACCATCAAAGGAAATGAGGACATCATGGTATCCACATTTTCTCCACTAATACGACAAATGTCCTTCTGTCTTGACAACGTTCTCTCATAAATAAAATTTTCCTATAGCGTTGAATTAGTGTCATTGTGTAACTCTTAACACTGTGTCCTGCAGAAGGCCAACAGTCGAGGTTCCATGTTCCCCACAATCATGTTGACCGGTTTACCAGAAGGAGAATACAAGCACGAGGACGTCGCCAAGCTGGTCTGGCCTTATTTCCCCAAACAAACTCTTCACTCCCTGTACTACAACGTGATCGTGCTGACACTGCAGAGGAGGGTGAGGACGAAAGACTGCAGACGGACAATTGTTCAAATTGACGTATGTTATAACATGTTTTGTTTCTGCTCTCCTCCAGGCCTTCGTGCATTTCAGCGATTGGACATCGTGCTGCAAATTTGTCCAAGATCACATCTGGCATCCTCGTTCTGTCAGAGGCTGCGCTCTCAAGATCCACTTCGTGTTGGAGTACATGTATCCTGAGTCAAAAGAGGTGTGGCCACTGAGGAGAGAATTAAACAGCACAACATGATGAGAGCATCAGAATGTGATTGTTTCTGGTTCCTCACTAAACCTGGGAATCGTTTCTCAATGAACATTCAAACCGACAGTTTGAACCATTTGGAGAAACGATGTTGTTTGACCGTGAAACGAGTTTTAACAACATCTCTGATCCTCTGTGTCTTTTTGCAGGAGCTCATGTACAAATCTTTGATGAAATGGAGCAACGCTGTGAGTTCTTATTCTTTATTTTAATCTTAATTTATTTCTTTCTTGACTCCTTGGTCCTTAGCCCAGGCTGTTTGTTGTTTTTCAGCGAGTTCCAGATGCAGAGTCTCTGGAGGAGCGGCTGCTCTGTGTGGAGATCTCTGAGACGAGTGTTGTTGTTGTGAGGAGCGTCATGAAAGCTGTGGCGTCCATTGCTAAATTTGTCAGCTTCCTGCCGCTCGCCAACAGGGTACGACAACGACACTGCAAAGTTTTCACATTGAAGTGTGGAGAGAATAGCGACTGAATGTCAGAGTTTTCTTTTGTCCCTCCTCTCTCCACCTCAGATATGTGTGGAGATGGCTGACTCCAGTGGTGTCACTCAGGTGGTGGAGAAGTACAACTCACTGATGTCATCTTCTGCATGGCAGGGCCAAAATAGGTATGTGTCCATCACTCAGGAATGAGAAATATATAATTTTACTTTTTAACCTTTTTTACAAACCAGACAATCTCCTTTTTTCTTCTTCTTCACAGGAGTCAAGTTCAACGTGTTGAATCGTGAGTATATCACTTTTCAATTTATTCTCGTCAGATTAAAAATCAAAGTGTTGACAATAATCTGTGTTATATAGTTATCTGTGACATTCAGCTCTTTCCCGTTACAGAAACAGTAAAGTTAGCTCTTATTGTATAGTTGCTAACATTAGCTGTTGTCTAATTGTAACTGAAGAACAATCAACTACGTTGTTTAACCTTGAAGCGTGGTCTGATGTCGGGGAGCAGCAAAGTGACAAGTCTGTCAGAGAAAGATGGATGTTGGTTTAGGAACAATCAAATCTTATAAATGACACTGAATGAGAACTTGAAACAAAGTGCTATATAAACTGCTGTTGTTGGAATGTTCTAAGTTTATTTTTTTTTTAATGTTAGTGTGAAGAGTCTGAAGCAGCGTCTTGAACACTCCAGTGAGATCACTTTAAACCTTCACCTGGACACCATCAGTGCTGAAGCTCAACCCCCAACACAGCCTCCTCCTTCCAAACCTTCTGTGCCAACCACTACCCGTGCTTCTGCTAAACCAGCAGCGTGCGATGAATCCGTCACTCGTGAAGATGTTGCAGCAGAATCGAGTTCCGCTGCTGCAGGTGACCTAACAATTGAGGACGGTGAGAAACTGGGAACTGAGATCGTCCTGGACTCCAGCGCATGTCCTCAGTCAAATGAAGAAAAGGTTGTTAAGAAGGAGGAGGGGTCACCAACAACTATCAACGACACTGCTTCTGGTGCCACACACACAAATCTGGTCTCCTCTGAAGAACCCACCACAGAACTTCGTCAGATTGACCAGGACACTTTTGGGGCCAAAGAGGTGATGATTTTTTTATCCTCCTCTTTGAGAATTATCTGTATTTATGGAGAAATTAGGAATCATTATATCCTTGTCTGTATTGAATACATATGTTATATTCACGCAGTGTAGGTTGGAAAAAGCATCAATTATATTTGATTAATGAGATTTAATTGCTTCAAAGATTTATTCCTTCTCTCCGTCCATGATCCAGGGTCAAGAAGACTTTTCAGATGACGTACTTGCTTCAGACGCCTACATTTTTGATGAGCCAGATTTCAACATGAGTGACTTTGTCACCGTTGATGAAATTGTTGATGATGGGGAAGAAATGAACCCTGACCCCCATAGCCCCTCGTCTTCCATGCAGTCCTCCACAGGGATAAAAGTAGAACAAAGCTCAGGTACTCCATCTGCTCCAAAACAGACCTCAACAAGATCTTCAACTAGATCCTCAACAAGATCCTCAACAAGATCCTCTACAAGATCCTTGAAAGACTCTAAGAGCTCCGCTTCTTCCTCATCCAAGTCAACCAAAGACTACGTGAAGAGAAGGTTGTCTTCTATCTCGACCTCTGTGTCCCCAAAAACAACTAAGGACTCATTTAATTCCAGCAAATCCCCAGCCTCATCCTCTTCGTCTTCGTCTTTTCTGTCTCTTGAAACGTCTTCCTCCTCTGGTCAGAAAGCACAACAGAGCAAGACAAAATCTCCACTCAAAGGTTTACATACTTCGTCCTCACGTTATCGTATGGGATCGTCCTCAGCTCCACATGAAATGGTAAAGATGTTATCAGCAGCAGTGTCTGTAGAGCGTCTCCCTGTGTCGCAGAGAAAGTCGGCAAAAGAGAGTGCAGTGGCAAAGTCTGACCACAAAGTGTCAGCAGAGGGCATTGCTGCAAAAACTATTAAGTCAGAGACAAAAATTGAAAAATTGAACCAAGACCAGAAGTTAGAGACTGATTTAAAGGACACCACACTCAAAGACCTGGAGAAAGGGATAAAGAGAGAGATAAAGAAAGAAGAGGATGTTGATGGTGAAAATGACCAAATGCTTGATTCATTCGATGGCCGAACTGATAAACAGAAGGATGAAGGGGATCAAGCAGGCAGCTCTGACACCAAGCCACCTGAAACTGAGAACAGCTCGGTCTTGGACAGTGTCAACGATGATGGCAAAGCTTGCCCCGAGAAGTGCACAGAAGAGGAACTGGACAGTGTTACCAAAAACAAACCAGGTAAAGAGGAGAGTGACCTGGTCGAAGATGACGGTTCCACAGTAAAGCAGTTATCAGAGGAAGATGTGATTCAAGGAGACAACAAATCTGAAAGTAAGGAGGCAAATCATGAAGTTAGTGTCCAAGTGTTAGATACAGCTAGAAAAGAAGCTTCAATGGACAAAGTGGTCATGAAGAAGAGAAAACGAAATGAAGAAGAGGAATCAACATCAGCAGAATCCTCCAAACGAGTTGAAAAACCTGATGATCAAATCCCAAAAGATGAAGACCAGCCTCTTAAAGTCTGTGACAACAAAGACAGTGAAGTTACAGAAGAAACCTTTGAGATATTGGATTCAACTGACGATCAGACAGGAATGGACCATGACGGCCAAAACATTGAAGCATTGACTGATCAGATGTCCAAAGAAGAAGAGGAAGATGCCAATAAGGTCGTGGARTCTGTTGAAGATCAGACAACAACTACACAGTCTGACAACAAGGAAAAGAAAACTGCAAAACCTGATGCGACTTCTAGAAGAGATGATAGATCATCCAAGAGGAGTGGCCTGAGGACCAGAGCATCCAGAAGTGAAGAGAAAGTCAAATCACCAGAGAAACAGGACAGGATGGTTAYAAAATCTGAAACACCTCGAGACACCACAGCAAAACGTCCTCAGAAAGACCAAGACGCWGAAGAGGAGAAGGTGTATGAGATAGTCGATTCCATTGAAGAAGAACTGGGTCAAGATGCAGCTGCCACAGAAAGGACAGATAGAAGAAGGAGTGGAAGAGGAAAGAAAGAGGACAAAATGACTCTGAATCTCACTGAAGCATCTGAAAAAGAAGATGAGGAGGCTTCGTATGAAATTTTAGACTCTGTGGAGGACGAGACTGCGACAGAAGAACCGGTCGTTATGACGAGATCGACCAGAGGAAGAAGGGAAAGGACGTCTAAGAAAGACCAAACAAAAAAAGAGGACACACCGACAAGAAGGAGGCGCACTCCTGCCAGAGAATCACAGGAAAAAACAACGAAGAKAGAGAAGAACGCTTCTCCAAAAGAGAGCTCACCAACAAAGAAGAGTGACATCCCTGCAAGAGAGGAAATAGATGAGGATGCGACCTATGAAATATTAGACTCTGTGGAGGACGAGGTTCTGAAGGATGACCCGCCCACTACGGGAGGAAAAGGAAAGAGGGGAAGACCAAAGAAAGCAGTTAAATCAACTAGAAAAGACATCGTAACACTGAAGGGGGACAAAGATGCATCTGAAAAAGAGGCTGATGAAGAAAAGGTGTCATATCAGATTCTTGATGCTGTGGAGGATGAGATGGTCGACGATGGCCCTCCTCCAGYAGAGTCACCCAAAAACAAGGAGGAGGAGCCTGTGTATCAGATTGTAGACTCTGTGGAAGATGATCAAGTTCAGGAAGAGTTGACCACCGAGGTGTCCGAGGGAGGGACGAAGGAAACGAGTAAGACAAAAGATGAAACTCGTCCAAAAGAGGAGGAAGCAGCTGTTACAGAAACACCAACGTTTAGGATCATTGTGGAAGCCTCTGAAAACGTGGTCACCAAGGATTTAGATCATGATCCATCTGCTGGTCTGGAAAACAGGGAAAGATCATCCAAAGCATCCATCAAGAAAGAAGGTGCATCGACAACAAAGTCTCAGAGTGATCCCACAACACCAGAAGTGGAGAAGAACCAAAAACCATCCGAGGAAAGTGACACAACAGCTCCGATGAGTTCTCTGGTGAACCTGGATGAAGTGAGTGATGAGGAGGAGGATTACCCTGATGACATAGCTGAGGAGGAAGAAAAGCTGGACCAAGTGAAGCAAACATCAAGACCTGCTAAAGGTTTGTGTTACCTTTAAAATGAAAGTGTTTACCAAGGCTACCTGGTGATTTCATTTCAAACCAAAAGTTGTTTATAATACACTTCCCCCCCAAAAGTGACAGTCTGAGGCTATTTTCAGGCCAAATTAATTTGTTAATCAAGGCGTGATCAATTTATCAGTTCTTCCTCTTCTTCAGTTGTGAGTAAAAGGAAGAACGAGATTGTCGAACCTGAGGCAAAGAGATCTCGTTCTCAGTCTCCTTCTGTTCCTGCCGACTTCAAGCTGCCGCCATTTAGAGCCAACCAGCCCCTGGGTGAGAAACACACTCTCACACAGTCTATTTCATTATTAAAATTCTTTCGGATTGAAAATCATTCGTTATAGTTTTGACGGTTTGTGTTTCTGTGTCTCTTCAGGTCAGGAGTTTGTCGTCCCTAAATCAGGATACTTCTGTAACATCTGCCGTGTTTTCTACGTGAACGAGAGCAGCGCCAAGGACGTTCACTGCAGCAGCCAGACGCACTACAACAACCTGCAGGTACACACAAACACATACACAAAATGTAACACAAAGACACACACATGGCCTCACACTGTTTGTGTTCTTCTTCTCAGAAACACTACCTGAAGCTTCAACAGAAACTCTCAAGAAGTTCAACGCCAAATTCTCAAGACTACGTTTCTGATTGATCCAGACTTCAGCTTCTGATCCTTTAGTTTGATTGTGCCTTTAAAATCTGGAGAAGTGAAACGTCTGGAGACGCTGTGGACGGGTGTAGTCGAGTCGTGTTTTCGCCCTGATGGTCACAGTGACAGGTTTTAGCGTGGATGGTCCCATTGTTCTTAAAAATCTTTAATGTTCAAATAAATGTTGGTCTTGTTGCAGTTAGTTGTGAAATAAAAGCTGACAGTCATCTTTAGGTTGTCAAATACATACAGTTGATATTCCTCAAGCAATGTGTTGCACATTTTGAGGGATATAGTGTTCGTTTGTAGAAGTTAAGTGTTGATTTAAAACGATAAGCGTTGTCCTCCAAGTTCCTTCATGTGCTGGTGGACATTTCTACACTGTAACTATATGTACAGTACGTTTTTGTATATCTAATCATTATCTCGCACGTCATTAAGGTTACATCGGTTTGTTTGTTGTTTTTCAGTTTTTGCTGTTTACTGCTGCTACTTTACATTTATCAGTCAGTGCTATTTCTTTTCAGTGTTAAAATCCCAGTTTGTAAAATAAAAATATGGAATAAATATTTTAAATAACATTTTACCAACAGTATTTTATGGAAGTACAAATAAAGGAGTTCTGTTGAACACATTCTTGTAACTTTGGAATGATTGTGACGAGGAGCCACGCTCTCGTGCCTCGCTCCAGATTTGCAGCTGAAAACGGAGAACGTTCGGGGGAATGTTTTGGAAAGATTATCCACAGGTTCTCGCAAGAATATTTTATGATTTCACGTGTGTTTGTACCATAGACTGTATATAAAGAGGTTTGTACTGAGCATAGTGGCAGGAAGTACTAATGGTAGGAAGAAGGAATTCCTCAAAAGATAAATTGCACATGATTTTGGAAAATCACTCATCTTGAAATAACTAGATGATTAAAAACAAATATCACACATGATGCAGATGAGATCGGATCAGAATCGAACTGTCACCGTTGTCTTCCAGTGACCGCGCATTTACACTTAAGGCGCGTGCTTTTACTCTGAAAGCTGGTCACCCACACCGGAAGTCCAGACGGACGGTTTCCTGTTCGCCAACGAGGAGAAGAAGAGTTTTGACGCATGTGAAGGTACGTGACCAAAAAAAACCAAAGATGTTCAAACACGAAGCGATCGCGTTGTTTCAGTCGATGATTGTGAAACATTCACTGCGTCCGGTTCTTCACCGGCGCCCACGTTAGCTCCGGTTAGCAGCAGCTAGCTTAGCTCTGCTCCGGCTCTCACGTTAGCAGCAGCAGTTGATTCCCCGTTAGCTTCGACGTAGACCTGCGTCAAATCTCTCTGACGTCACGCGGACGCTTCGTGCATCCTGCGTTCTGGTTTTCCGCGCAGGATTTGCGCGTCATCAGAAACTGTGGCCACGCCAGATGCACGAACCACGCGATGACAACAAACGGCAAACTTTGTTTACGCTTTTTCAGAAACAGCGTAAAGAAACTGCTTTAGAAGTTCAGAATGAACGATTGTGAAATCTTCACGTTAAAGTTCAAATAAAACAAAACAAACGTACATAACAGACGTCATGGTCAGAGTTCTGTGTTTGTGTCACCGGAGTGCACGAGGCAGTGGCAGGTGCTCGACAGTTTCAGGGGGAAACGTCATCAGCGCAGAAATGGCGCAGAAGCTGAGTGACCTGGTCCAGAATGATCTGATGTGTCATCGCCTCGAGCCAAACGTCGATGTCCTCGAGTGTCGCCATCCTTGCTTATGTTTTCCACAGGCAGGTCTGGAGGCAGCAGAATGATTCTGTGGTCTGCCCACTAGTGGAACCTTCAGTAAAACGCGCCTCGAAATCATTTCGCAGGTGCACTGTCCTGAATCGGAGGGGATGGTTCCTCTTTCGTCCCGACTCTGCGACTTTATAAGTTCTCTTCAACGTCTTTTGTAAGATCTGATGTGAGAAACGCGTAATTAAAGCTGCGTTTCCACCGCACGGACGTTCTCCAGGATCTAGGAACCTATGATGAAACTCTAGCTGTGTTCCAAGCTGCCTCCTTCCTGGGCCGCGCTGACCTGCGAAGGCCCGACTGACGTGAGAGGGTGTGGTTTACAGCTCAGAGGTTGTTCTTGTGTTGCACCCCCACTGTATTTGTCACCCATATGTTCTGCTGCACTGTACGAGGATGATCTACTTCTCTGATCTTTTTGATTTGTCACCTGAAAACTCCTCCAAACTATCTTCTGATGTTATACCAACTTCTGCCTGCCTGCAGAGGATAGTCATAACTTCATGGATATTCTGATAGCCCACCCCTACTGAGAGAGAGATGAGAGATGTGTTATGATTGTTTGAAAATGCAACATCCTTCATCTGTTGGCTCTATTGTCTCATCTGTGTCCATCAGAGTTGAGCATGTTTGTTTGTCTCAGTTTGTCAGATGTTTGCCCTGAACAGCTGTGACCCTGTTTTTTCTCTCTATCTGTGCTGTGTTTCTTTTGCCTTCTTTCTTCTGTCTTTCTAGTAAAGCCCAAGAAGTGTGAAAGAACAACAGGAAGCTCCACAATGGACCAGACAAGACTCTCCACATGAAGGATGTTACTGAGCCGAGGAGCCAAATCCGGTCCATTCATTGAACCCTTTCTTACCTTTTTTGTTACTCTTTAACTTTTCGTTGCTATCGGAGCATTTCTTCCTTCTCCTGCTGCAGGCCCCTTAACGAGACCCCCGGAGGTCTCGTAGGGAGCCTTGTTCCTGATTTAACAGCGCGCTGCATCCTTGCAACTGAAATCCCAGCGAACGCAGATAAAAGACATTCTCTTGGTTGATAGTTGAGTTGTGCATTTCGCTCCGTCACGCAGGCTCCGCACATACCCTCAACACCCTCATCCTCAACTGTTGTGGTCATCAATCTCCTTGATCTCTAGAAGGCTGAAAACATGTCTCATCACCATTATAACCCCTATGCCTCTGGTAATCAAAGTTCCAACCAGGGGCAATATGAACTCTCCAGTGCGCAAGCTGAGAGAGACCATCGAAGGGAACTTTCTGGTTTTGGACCAGGGTCCAGCTTCAATTCTCCTGCAGCTTCTTCGGCAGCTCCTGCCAACCATCGTGGAAATATCCCATCTCTGCTGACCCTGTCGGTGAACTACAGGCCTGAACAGGGTCGGGCCACAACAAACGAGGACATAGAGAGGTCTGTAGACTTGCATATTAGCAGAGCCAGAGAGGAGGTGAGGTGTCTTGACAGACCTGCCCAGCCCACAGGCCAGAGCACCCGCTTTACCCACACTCAGAATGATGAGATTCTCTCCTCAGGCGCAGGGACCACTTCTTATCCGATGACATCAACTTTTGCCTCTGGACGCAGACATGCTGAAGTTGAAAGTGTCAGTAGTTCCTTGGACTGGTTGCCAAAATACAAAACTGCTGATGATTCCCCTAAATCATATTCATTACCTGCTTCATCTAGCTATACAAGCAGTGGTGACATTGGCAGGTTTAATACATCCAGTGAAAGACAGCGTGACGGACCGTCCATTTCAGGATTAGGTGATTATCACTATCCTGCACCGGACAAACCTGCAGCTCCTACTGAGACAAGTAGCCACAAGTACACCTCTGAATCTGCTGCAAACATTCTTTTGAATTTTGGTCTTGAAAAAGAGGATTTGGAATTTCTCATCTCTTACCCTGAGGACCAGATCACCCCTGCCAACCTTCCCTTCATTTTGCGTCAAATCCGCACTCAGAAGACCAAGAGGACTATGACTGCAGTTGAGTCCAAACCCTATCCAAAACCTCCACCAATCAGAGGTGTCAGTGAAAGGGACATTTTGAGCAGTTCCGGAGGGTCGTCATCTCTTCCCCAGCCCAACAAAGTGATTGACTATGGACATACCAGCAAATATGTTGGAGGGGTGTTGGATGACATTGGAAGGACCAGTGGCAGAAGTGCAAACAGTAGCGTGAGTGGCATTAGTTTGTTTTTGGACGAGCAGCGCAGTGACAGTCGAGAACAATTGCAAAAAGATACAGAGATAAGAAGCATTCCTTTGGGTTTCTCACGTGACCAGAGTAGCTCTGTTACTAATGCCAGCTCTTCGTACAGTTCATTACTGAGGTCTGTGGCTCCTACAAGAAGTGATCCAATGCAACGATTTCAGACCCAACCAGACCAGACTTCTAAACCAAACTTCAACTCTTTCCCACTTCCAAAGAAGGATGCAGACAGAAAGGTCTTCACCTCTGAACCCTTCAAACCCTCTGCTTTGAAAGCACCAGAGACAGAACGCCTGGCAACGCTGAAAAGCCATCGATCCTCTATTGTGTTGGACAATGTGTATCCAGGCCGACGTGGTGTTGTGGTCGTTGACAAGATTTATACCAGTTCCGCTAAGGATGAGAGTGAAAGTCGAGGACAAGATTCAGGGGTTTGTGAGCAGATGATAAAGCAGCAGATGCTGCAGCATAAGACACTGACGCTGGAAGAGACACAGCAAAAGCAGAAGGCACCAAAACAGCACCCACAAAAGCAGCATGTGCAGAAGCAGCCATCACAGAAGCAGCCAGCGCAGACAGAGAAGGCACAAACACAGCAGTTGCAGAAACAGCCAGCATCGCAAGTGGGAAACATGTTGTGGCCAACGGTTTACTCCACTGTGAAACCTTCCTGTCTCGTCCCCAGCCCCAGTGTTATTCCTCCAGCTTCACTTCAGCCAGACACACGCAACAGCGTTGATTCGGTTTTAAAGTTAGTTAAGGTACCAGGCCTACAGAAGCAGCCAACGCCGGCCATGATGTACGACTATGCTGCGGCCTCACCGAGAGTCTTCCCACATACCTGTTCTCTCTGTTACAAAGGATGTTCTAATATGAAGGTGAGTGTGTCAGCTAACTACCTTTCTCTTTAAATCTCAGTTACAATGTCGGATTTACATCATGTGACTCAATTGAACCAATAATGTTAAGTTTTGCCCGCTGAAAATTAAAAACAACTTTGTGGAAGAACTTTGCAAGTTGTGAAGAAAATGTTGAATTGTCTACATCGCAATGTATTTAATGGCCTCACAGACCAACGCTGTTTCCTATGTGGCTGCTTTTGCCTCTTTCTTAAGAAGTACCATTGTCATAACCTCTTCCACGGATGGATGTAAGTATGTTGACAATTATATTGAAGCTTATCATCCATTTCTGTAAAGCATTAAAAAGTTATTGTCACCCAAAAAGCAATTCCCCGAATTATATTTAACAAATGCTGTCAACTTGAGACATCAACGCTGAGGATGACGAACTGGCTTCTTCGCATCTACTCGCCTTTGCTCCTGTACTCTGTGGTTTAGTCCTGATCTATAATCGACAGCAACTTCTGCCGAGATGATGTTAACATCACAGATTCCAGAGGTCAAGAAGACAACCTATGTACTGTTGGTCTTACTGTTAAATAGGTTCCTGTATTTGTCACATTACATGATAAAGACTTGTTGCCCTTGAGGTCAAAATTAGTAAATTAATTATAAAGGTTCTAAAGAATTTAGTTTCCATACTCGTTTCTAATAGGCCATTATTTTTAACTTAAACTTTTCATGTACCCTCCAAGCCACGGCTCATGTCACAGCTCTGCACATGAACTCAAGGTTTTTCCCATCTTTTGTAAAGTTGATGTAAATAAACTTGATTAAAAAAAAAAAGTTTTGACTTCTTAACTTCTTTGAATTATAGAGATGTATCAAGAAAAGTTGTCTCTGTCTGTTGAAATGTTGCGTTATAAAAAAACTGTCAGTTGAGATATTGATGCTGACAGTAGTTGTTGTAGTTCTAAGGTCTTTCTAAATGTTGTGTGTTTTGTTGTTCTGATCACTAGGACTGGATCTCCCACCAGAACAGCAGCCTTCACCTCAACAGCTGCAAATACCTCCGGACGCTGTCAGTCTTTTTTTATTTTCTGTAAATTCCTGTTACTTTTGAGGCATTGATCATTAAACATTGAGAGGAAATACTGGACACAAACAGAGAAAGGTTTAAATATTGTCTGTCCCTGATGAACCTCTGCAGTATGTTGTGGGACCTCTTTTTTGCGTTAAAGGTTGCACTTTAATCGTTTTATCCCAGATATCCGCAGTGGAATGGTGAGATCGTACTCGAGCCCAGGTACATTTCTGTTTTTATCAAATCATTTACAAAATAGTACCCTGCTTTCTTTTCTTCTTTGCCTGTCATCAACACATGCGTATGTCACTCTGTTCTTTTCAGTGATGCAGGGAAAGAAGCCACGCCCTCGACTTCGGCCTCTGTGCAGATTTCCCAAAAGCATGACAAGAAAACCAGTAAAGGAAGGCGCCCCCGCTCGCCCAGCCCCCGTAGGCCCCACAGCCCAGATGGCAGAGAGAAACGTAGCCTATCACGATCATCACGTGGCTCCAGACATGGCCGGTCTGTGAAGCATTCATTTTTAAATTAGCAATGATATTGGGAGAAACACTTCACTCTCAAATATTTCAAAATATCGTGTTAATTTGAACAACTGTTTTTTCCCTTGCCTCAGATCTCGTTCTCGATCTCATGATCGGTCACGATCAAGGAGCTATGAGAGATCAAGGAAAAGAGAGAGACGGTCATCTCCAAGGAGGAGAGACGACAGACAGTCCTCGCCAAAGAGGGAAGACGACAGACAGTCATCACCGAGGAGAAGAGATGACCGACGGTCTTCCCCAAGGAGGAGTGAAGAGAGGCGGTCATCTCCAAGAAGAAGCCGTGAAAGACCGTCATCACCAAGGAGGAGAGACGACAAACTGTCTTCACCAAGGAGGAGAGAAGAGAGTCGGTCATCTCCAAAGAGAAGTCGCGAAAGACGGTCATCACCAAGAAGAAAGAGTGAAGAGAGACGGTCATCTCCTAGAAGAAGCCGCGACAGACGGTCATCACCAAGGAGGAGAGACGACAGGCGGTCTTCATCGAGGAGAAGAGACGACAAGCGGTCCTCTCTGAGAAGAAGCCGTGAAAGGCGATCATCATCAGAGAGTTCCCCTCAACGGAGGTCGAGCAGTGCAGACAGACTGGTGAAGAAAGTACTGGAAATATCTGGTCAGTAAAATTTCAAATATTTAATCTTATCAGTTCCTCTTTAAAACCTTTGGGGCCTGGGACCCAAAATGATCTTAGACCAAGGTCAATGTATAAAACATCTCGCAGGCACATTGAAAACTTTTCTCTGACACTCTGCCATCTTTGTCTCCAGATGTCCAGTCTGTGTCCAAACCCTCTGACTTGGAGGCTGTGGTTAAAACTTTATTCGCTGAGATAGCCAAGATGAAATCCTCGTCATCATCTACAGGAGGAAAACACTCAAAGTCTAAACCCTCTGCTGGGAAAAAGAGCTCGTCCTCTGCGGCCTCTTCATCATCGTCCGCCTCAAAAGCAAAGAAGACGACAGCGATGACAAAGTCCACCACAGCCAGCCTGCAGGAGAGCAAGGCTGGTGCTTCCACTAAGACAAAGGTTGGGGTGTGTGTTTTGCGTATTATTTATATTTCTTTGCGGTAGTAATATGATGGTGTCATTAAGCTTAACCCTAAATAATACATTTTATTCTGGTTTGTTCGCAGGTTACTGAGCAAAAGAAAACTCATCAGAAGTAAGATATGCTTCTTTTACATAGTTTCAGAGTAACAGAGGTTTTATCTGTCAGTCTTCACTTCTTCACCTCCTGACAAACATCACTGTACTATTAAGTCTGCACAGGTTCTGGATACACATTTGCAATCATATTGAACTTCAGAAATATTTTTAGTTTCAGTTTGAATTGTTTTGTTAAATTACGCAGTCATAAAAGGAAATATTAACAACTTAGACCAAGGAAGAATTTCTTTCTTCTCTTTATTCACATTATGTGCGTTGTTGATTTAGAAACTGCCTGACAACATGTTGTTCTCTTTTGTTCACAGAAAACCTGCTGTGTCCAGAGTCCTCACCAATGACAAAGCAGCTGATGAAGGGTCGACCAATGTAACTAAGGCAAAAGTTTTGGTGTCAAAAGCAAAAAGTGTCTCAACCAAGCAGGTCTCTAAAAAGCCAAGATCTCCTGAGGTTGATGAATCAGAAAATCTTATCGTCGCTGGACCAACTAATGTCTCCGGAGTAAAGGTCAAAGTGGAAACGGGCTCAGCTTCGCAGGAACCCAAAATACCAGTGAACAACTCGGCTGCAGCGGGAGATTCGACAAAAGTAAAAGTTGAAGAAAAAGCTGCAAAACCCACGACGGTGACGTACAAATCCACAACTTCACATGTAGAAACAAAAGAATGTGATTCAAAGGTTTCAAAATCTGAACTGAAGCAAGAACCAGAACCTGTCAGAATCGATGCAGTGGTGAACGACGCTAAAGAAGCTGAACCGATGGAGCTTGTGGAAACAGGAGTTGACGTGGCAGAGCCCATGGAAGTAGAAAGTTGTGCTGAGGGCAAAGAAGAAAAACTGACAAATGTGGAGGCTGTTTTAGAAAAATCCAGTGAGAGTCAACTACCAACCTGTAAAGATGAGACCGGACCTCCTACTGTTCCACCTCCAAACACAGAAGCAGATCCTAAACCTGCAGACACAAGTTCTCAGAAGCCTCAGCCCGACATGAAAACAGAAACAGCTGTAACACCAGACTCTGCAGCCCCAGAGTCTGCAGCCCCAGAGTCTGCAGCACCAGAGTCCGCAGCCCCAGAGTCCGAGTCCGCAGCCCCAGAGTCCGCAGCCCCAGACTCTGCAGCCTCAGACTCTGCAGCCTCAGACTCTGCAGCCCCAGACTCTGCAGCCTCAGACTCTGCAGCCCCAGAGTCCACAGAACTGTCTGCAGCTTCCGGTCTGGGGACCAAGATGGAGACTTCACGACCTCCAAGTTCAACTGATGAGGTGGACAAACACACAAAAGGTATGTCGAAGATGATTTGTCTCAAATATTTTTGTTGAGAAGCATTGATGGAAATTTTCCAAGGTTCAATATTCATTTTAAAAAACATACTACAAAGGGAAGCATACAGAAAAGATGCACCAGACTTAATAAAAAATAAAATAACCTGACAATTCCCACAAGTAATCCCTTATCTTTCACTGCACTTCACCCAAGTTCAAATGCACCAAATGAACGTCATTGTCGTTCTAACATTATTTTCGGAGGTGAAGACTGCAGCTGCTTCCTCTTCTTTCTTATTTTTTCTCCTCTTATTGTTTGTTGGTCTGGACCTTGATCGGAGGAACCTTTCACACTTTATATTTTGGTTTCGACTAAACTGAAAAGTCTGAAGGTCCGGACTCAACAATAACAAAACCTTCAACATGTTCCCTCTCCCTCGTCATTGCCTGCTGACTTCCTTATTTGCTCTGTGCTCTACGATACTTATACTTATACAGTGTTGAAGATCTTTCAAAGTTCAGCTGCTAATCGTGGTGACATTTCTGATTTGAACATCCCTCATCTGCAGTGAAGAACCAAAGGGATCCAACATCAGCCTCCGAAGCCATCGGCGACGTTTCAACCGAGCCAGCAGCTGGAACAGTGAGCGAACAGCAGGAAGCAACAACCGCGTGTTCTTCAGCTGTAGTCCTCCCTCTGACAGTCGGGGAGTTGGTAGAAAAGCGCTTTCATCTAAATAGCTTCAGTAAGAAATCCAAGAAAGAGACGCAGTTGTCATCCTGTAATCAGGATTTATTATTTCATACATTTTAGTTGTAGATTAAATATTTTCCTTTTTTTTTTCACAGCGTTCCTGAATAAAAAAACGACCTTGTCCCCAAAAGTAAGTTCTAATCTCTTGTAGGGACTCCTGGAGTAAAAAGGTCTTAACATTTATTTATTCATTTACCTCAATATACATTTTGTCTCCTGTATAGATCTTTCATTAATACGAAAATGTTCTCCTTTTTCCCAGTTTTTCTTAATCGGTAGGAGGCTACTGATGATCTCCAACCTGCCGAAGCATCACGAGGGCTGCTACACAGAGGAAGACGTCGCCAATCTGTTCATTCCTTTCGGATTCATATACTCAGACGAAAACATCTATGTTCTTCCTCAGGCGTGCGTTGTAAGCACAGAGTTATTCATTTTGCATCGGTGTGGTTTATTAATCCAATATTTGTTTTTCTTTACATCATTACTTTCTTCATGTGAAGTTTTTTCTGGGTTTTATTTCATCGATGTAACATTAAGATTGTTTTTACTGATTGTAACTCACAATTTACCTCAACATTTCTGAAAAAGTTGTAATATATACACAGGTAGTACTGTTACTAATGTATATTTGTTTCTGCTTTTCCTCCCAGGCCTTTGTCTTGATGCCGTCCTTGGAGAGTGTACACAGTGTTCTGATTGCCGAAGGGGATCTCATTGCTATCAAAAACAATAAGCTGTGTCTGCGTGTCGTGGACAGCATGCCAATGGACCCGGTAATTATCATCACTGCGCTACACTGCTTGTTTTTATGCCTCATGCGATCTCACAAAATTTAGACTCATTGATTAACTGATGAGACTCGAGTGGTCAAAGGTCACAGTGAGTCTGAAACTGTACCGGTTGGAGGAGGCTGTAATTCCAGTTGTTGGTTGACACGATACATGTCCAGTATATTACTTCCTGCCTAATCTGATATTTCTTTCAGATGAGGTTTTATAAAGCCCTGATGAAGCGGATGAATTCTGTAAGTAACACACACACACACACACACACACACACACACACACACACACACTTACTGCACTTCGAGGTATTGGAAAAAACAATGAACTTGTTGATTTTGATGCAGCCGGTGGTTGACGATGGAAACAGAACGGTGTACATCACGAATATTTCACCGAGCGAAGCCAGAGACCTCAGACAGGCGTTGAGAAAAATCAATTCAGTCGCAAACTACCTGCCTCTTCTCAACAAGGTATAAACACACAAACATACAGACACACAAGCACATGTGTTTCAGTCACTTCAAAAGATTCCTGCTCATTAAATCTGTCCGCACATGTTTCAGGTGTTTATTGAATTTGAATCTTGTCGCGATGCTGATCGACTTGGAATTTGGTACAGCCTCCTGAAACGGGCCCCTGGACACAAAATATGCCGGCTGAAAACACCACACAGCGGCTGTACAGCCCTGCGTAAGTCTTCGTTATAGGAGTTATGTTGCAGAAAGATTCTATATAGCATCTGTGTGCAGAACGTTCTCTGTCAAGCCGCGGGACATAAACAGGTGAACAGCTCTTTGTCCAGCAGCAGCTCTTCATTTGCCGTGGTTCCATTACTGCAGGTCATGTTTACAGTTTCAGAAAGAAAACTGTGACCAGCATCACAACACAACCACAGAGATCTCACCATTTTCTTAACAACACATAGACGGCTCTTATCGCTACAAACGAACACAGAGTCACTTGCTTCTTTGTTTTGTCACTTTTCAGAAATAAGACTTTTCTTGTTTTTGCTCTCGCAGCACCAAGACTTCCTGCAAACGCAATGCCGGACAGCAAGCATGCTGTGGCTGGGGCAACTACCCCGTCAATAAAATTTGGCGTTCCTCTGGGCAGCGTTTCACCTTTTTGGATCACAATTCCCACCATTCCCTTTGTGTTCGCCACCATGTCTCCTTGGTTCGTCATCCCAGAATATCTGACTGTCAGAGAAAATGACGACATCAAGGTAACCACATTTTCTTCATAAGTACGACCAGTATTCTTAAATGTTTCAGAGGTGATTATCAAAAAACAACTTGTTTTCGGTTTGTCTGTCTCTCCTGATGAGCGCTTTCACTTTCGAATGAATCTGACATGACACACTATTCATTCAGATGTATTACCTCGGACTGTTTGAAATAGTTTTCACTTGGACTCTGAGATGAACTGATTAGATGTCAGTGGTCAAAGATAACAGTGACCTCATAATGTTAGCTTTCCATGAAGTCAAGCGGATGAGCAGAGCAACACGTGTTGATCATCAACAATTAAAAGCAATTGTAATTCACAGTAGAAGAACAATGTTCAGCGGTTTCTGTTCTTATTTTCTCTTTGATTGAACTCTTCTCTCTGAACACTGTGTCCTGCAGAAGGCCAAGAGTCGACGTTCCATGTTCCCCACAATCATGTTGACCGGTTTACCAGAAGGAGAATACAAGCACGAGGAAGTCGCCAAGCTGGTCTGGCCTTATTTCCGCAAACAAACTCTTCACTCCCTGTACTACAACGTGATCGTGCTGACGCTGCAGAGGAGGGTGAGGACGAAAGACTGCAGACGGACAATTGTTCAAATTGACGTATGTTATAACATGTTTTGTTTCTGCTCTCCTCCAGGCCT